TACCCTGCTGGGTGGCCATATTAGGTGCCACCAATGCGTGGGAGGGCTGGCGCCACAAGAAGCCCAGCCCGTGCTTCAACTAGTGTTAAAAGAAGCGCAAGTAGGCACTACTTTCGCGGTCGGACCATGACATAAGAATCACGGCCCGAAAAGGGAAGTGAAAATTGAATATGGAAATTTGTATACCTAAAATTATGTTGATAAAGTTATCGCTTCCTCGTTCAGATGCTTGCGGAGACAGTGATTCTCCGATTGTTCAGCACACGCGAGGCGGTGGCTAATTGGTTAGCGGTGCCGACACGATCCCGCGCCGGCATGATACGGAAAGGAAGGCTGGTATACAACCCACTTGAGGTTTACTCGGAACGGGATGTGCCACGATTCTGGGATGGGAGCGTGAGGAAACCACCGCGGAGTTATATTTTCTTGATCGAGCCAGACCAACATATTGTACGATATGACTTTGCGCCTCCTAATCCATCACGAGATTACGGAGACATGAACTTAGTTGTGGTTTACGAGGACTGTCCAGAAGTAGAGAACATTCCTGAGGTTAGAGGGACGTTCCTCTATATTGTACTCCATTTGAATGATTTGCAAGGTCCGTTCGGCTCCCTTCATCATGTGAGACGGGTCCGAACGAATAAATTTAATATCATTCGCTCGGAACGTTTTGACGTCACCGCGTTTTATGACGAGGCTTGTGAAATTTACGAGCGCCTCTTCTAACAGGTGGCTTCTTCGGTATGCAGATGCCTAGCGGACGACGGGACTTCACTCAGGCCAGATATCTACTGATTCGTGACACTACGGACGAGGAGCTGATCAAGTGAGCGGAGCGACTATTACTGGCTCGATATGGAGTGCCCACACGATGGGTTGTTTTCATTGGCCTGCTCAGTGATGGGCAGGGATTTTTCCCTAACTCGTGCGCAGATGTTCGTGCCAATGTGGCCCGACTTCCGGACGAAATTCATGGATATACCTTGTACTTCCATCGCGCGAGCAACCTCCAATGCCTCTCTCGGGTCATTGTGAGCGTTAAAATTACCCTATCCGGGAAGCGCTACGGCGTCATCCGGATTAAGGACACCACGACCACGCACCTTTTTCGGATGCGTCAACCATTTCGCGCCATAGTTTGGAAGCTTGCCTCACGGGTGGTTTCTCACTATGATACGCGGAAGGTCCGAGTTATGCGAGGCGGACGTGTCTCCACCTTGACTTTTGACGACGAGGAGCTTACGCGACTCGACCGGATAGAGGTAGAGGCCCATGAGGGCCGACAGGTTTATCCTGGCTGAGCGCACCCTCTCAAGTCAGGTGCAGTGGTAAGTGGTTCTTTTGTAGAGCCACATCTACGTGACTCTGCAAGGGTAATAATAATAAAAAAAAAACAACAATCTTGCGTAGGTAGGCCAACCAGATGGATAGTATCTGGATTACCCCGATGATGGCACTATCATGCTTATGCATTGAGGGGTAATCGATCGCTGAAAAATGAGCCGAGCAAAATAAAAACCGAACACCTGAGAAGGTGTCGAGCAAAAGGGCGAGGGCGAAGTACCAGGAGATGAAACATCTCCATGCCAAGTATCTGGTGTTGGGGATGGGTGCTTCGTCATTCGTGGAACGGAGAGAGTAATTATTGCCTAGGAGGATGAATCGACCGACATAATTGTCAGTCGCTCCCCCGAATAGATGTATACGGTACGACAATATGGTCGAACCGGGAGTTCAAACACCGACCAGGAGCCAGATCACTTGTTGATCTGCATGGTACCAGCGGTATTTAGTTATATAAGTTGTGCGTGACGGATCTTCCGTCCGCGGATGGCGGTATAATCGTCTCTTCGGTCATGTAGGCAGGAAATGATAATCTTGTCATCAAGTCGAAATGTTGTTTATGAGTATGAGATTATAACGGTACTAGGATTATACATTCGATTTCATGTTTGGTCGAGGCCGTTCTAGTCGACCGATGCTCGTTCGTACCGAGGAGATCAGCGCCCTCGGAAACGGACGACGTTCGGGTCCACTTGGCGTTAACCAAGCATACCTTTACTCCAGCGAGCAAGCAAACGCCCTCGGCTGACCTACCTCTGCAATTGCATGTAAAAGCTTTCGCACGTGGGTCGGTAGCTCGGCGGGGATACGCCCCTCAGGGTGGTGACTGCCCCTTAGGGAAGGTAAGATGTGCCCCGCGAGAACCTATCCTGTCGTAGGGGACCGTGGGATGTACAGCTGGCGCACCCGGCTAGAGCGGCGAAGGGACAATGCAATCGCGTCCATCTCGGCGGTTCGAGGGATTATTTATGCGTCGTCCTAAGTTGTCTCTTAATTTTGTTTGGTTATAACCAGGGTTGTCAAGCCCCGGCCCCGGGTCCCCGGCGGGGGTCCGGGGGTGGGCACCCCCAGCCCCGGCTCCAAACCCCCCCCCAAAAAAAAAAATTCAAAAAAAAAAAAAAAAAATTCAAAAATAAAAATAAAAAATAGTGGGGGGTGCGCAGCGAGAGCGCGCACCACATGGGCTAAACCCCAAAAATGGGGTTTTATGCCCCACCCCGAACCCCCCCGAGGCCACACCCACCACTCCTGGGACCGGGGTAGCTGCTGGTGCGGGGCCGGGGGCGGG